CTCGCTACGCGTCCAGCCGCTGCAGGATGATGGCCTGCCCGTGGAGGAAGCGGCGGATGTCCTCACGGTTAGGTGGATGCGATCACCGAGCGATCCCCGAGCAACCTGGAACGATACAGACGATTAGGGAAATAATGTTTGGTCAAACATCCTACCAAGGTTGTTAGGAAAGAAAACTTCGCTTTTTATTCTTCGATAGGGCATCCTTTAAGATCAGGTGCATCGACGAAGGGATACTACGACATCATTGTTCCTTCTTTATTGACGATTATCACGTAAATTTTGTAAAGCTACACAGTAGAGCCTCGGTCACTGTAGGTAAACAGGGCTGGAACTCTTGCAATAACAGAGGCATCCAATCCAGTAAAGAGAAGTGTCAGGTTTTTTATAAATAAAACGCAGTTAAATCGTTTTCCTCTTAAACACAAACTCAATATATTTTTATTAATCACTAGTACTAGATAATCGCAATAAACTTTACTCGACACGCACGCCGATTCGCAATCACACACCGTTCTTCTTCTTCTTCTTCTTCTCCTCTCTCGCTGCTCCTATTTATGAGAGAGCGCGAGGCTCTCCGACCACGCATATTACCCAAACTTATTACCTTTGTATCTATTCCCTATACAATCGCTTTAAAGAAGTCTTCTATGTACGATATTTCTCGCTATTCGTGCTCAATACTATACTTGTTCCGTTCACCTCGATCTTTACTTTCTCCCTAAGGAACCATCCCCTGCATTACAATAACATTGCAATTACCTAGGTCCTCCTGTAATTCGGATTCCTCCAAGACACCGAAAGACCTCAGGTCCTTTATTCGATCCGTACGATTAACGAAAAATACCTGTAGAAAGTTTGCCCGTTACAGGAATCAATAACGATGCTAGCGTATGTTAAAAACGCGATGTTTTGAGAAGTAGTCGCGGAGCACGTGACGCGATAAATCATGGTGCGTTACGTGACCGAAAACGAGCCACGTGTCGTGTGATGTATGAAAGGTTGCTGCCTAAATATAATGACCGAGCATGCGGAGTATTTATTTTCGCATTATAATTTTTTCAGTCTCGGTCGGGGAACACGGACGCCGATGGTCGAAAAAGAGAAGAACGTACAGGAAAGCTCGAGGAAATTGTTTGAGAAATTACGATATGGAAATTGAGAATTTATCTACGGGAAGATCTTCTTTCTCCTGACAAGTTTAATAAAAATATTAATCGTCGGCTGGAAGTGTGAACTACCACTTAAAGCATATCTCATTTCCATGCCGTAATTAACTCCTTAAATGCGAAGGACGTGCAATGTTTTAAAACGGAATGATAAACATTATCGACCAGGCTTCGAGTTTAACGCCCGTCGCGCATAATTTATTTCGTTTTAAATGGTGGTAAATTGCCCCAGTGATCCTCAGCCACAGCCGAATGCCTTGTAGATAACACGACGAAATCATGATTGTTATTTATACAGAATCGAGACTGATACAGCAATCTATAAGCCAAGATCCGAATAATAAATAGATGTATGTTTAAACAGAGCGGACCGATTGTACGAAACTCTCCTCCGATTTTCATGCTTACTTCCCAGTGTTTGTTTCGCACTGCTTTCCTCTCGATCGCTTCTTTTGCGGCCAGTATCTGGAAAAAATAAATAGTATAAAGATAATTTTACAAAATTCCATTCAAACAGGTACGATGCGTCTTTATTTTATATAAAACATAGCGACTCTGCCCAAAATTCTTCGTACCGTTGAAGCTTAACACAATCGGGAGTACAACCCCTCGAATTGGCTGAACAACTAAACAATCGGAACACGCACGACGACAAAGCGAGCGAAGGCAAAGAGCAGAGCTTCCGATCCCCGTTTCTCACGCGGCTACGGGCTGTTCGTTTCTCGCATAAAGCGGGGCCGAAGGTGTACACGGGCGCGGTATCGGTTCTGAGAAAGGCTTATCAGGCCGCGGATATGTTAATGGCGGCCGTGTTCCCCCCACCCATCCCCCTCCCCCATTCTCCACCTCTTCTTTTCGAGATATATTACACCCTCAGCGCCCGGAGGTGGTTGGTGGCGGTTATAGGTGGTTGTAGGCGAGCAAGGTGCAGCCCTCTCGATCGGGAACGGTTGCATGCACGCGCAATTAAGAATGGTCGAAGGCGGTAACTGGAATGAAAGGCAAAAAGTCGGGTAGAAACGGACTTGCAGCCTATTTAATTAATACATTGTCTAGCCAAACGTTCCGTTGGCAAGTTAATCGCAGAAACAGTAGCAGGTAGTGTAGGAATCAAATGACTTTTAAACAATTTGCAGTTTGACAACGTATATTTTATTATCCGACTTTTACAACTGCCTCGACCGAACTGAACTCCGAATTATTATAAATAACAAATCACACCGCGTAACCACGCAACCGTTGCATTCACGGACACACTCACACGCTTACCCTCGTATTATATGTATATCACACTCCTACAGTAGAGAATTGAATTTTATGTACTGTAGAAGTCGACATACTAACGCACCGAAAAACTGTACAAGTCAATTTTGTACGGTTTTCTGGCGAGACTCTTCTATCAAATCCTGCCGTATTTTGAATTGCATATAATAAATTGTCTCGATTTTATAGATAAACATACTGGAATCGTACCAATAATTTTCCTGACACAAATTATTTCAAAAATATACAGACCCTTAAAGTCAACACTTAACACGCCAACTCTTGCAAAGATCTTTTCCTCCGCAACCTCGATTTATTTTTACTCGACTGTAAATACTTGTCCCGTTCAACCACCCATGTATTCGACTCGCCGAGTCGATTTTTCGATATAAAAATTTGTATCCCCAAAAACCGAAGAGAAACGCCCAATAAAAATGTTTTTAGCCCACTTCCTCCCTCAATTTCGACCCCCTGGTAGTCGTGACAGTGTTAACCACGTACCGGATCTCTGTCTCCTGGATAACCGCGATCGTATTACCCGTGTATCCGGGTGCGATCAAGAGCTCCAGTCTAAATCCGCGGCAGACGGACATCCCGCGATCCCAGGTAGCTTGTACGCGCGTGCAATTAAGAATGCTGTCGGGGGCTCCTGGTATATACCTAGGAAGTACAACAAGCAGACGAAGAAATAGACGACGAAGGAGATAGCATTAGAAAAGAGAGAGGGAGAGAGCCGAAGAAGAAAAAATGGTAGTAGGGAGAGACAAGAGGAACGTGGTGCTGGCCGAGGCCTGCTGCCGCTCCATCGATGACCGCTTATTTACAGAGAGGCAGAAGGAACACGACTGTCCTGTAGATGCGAGCGCAGGATAGCCTAGAAGTGCGCTGCAACCCTCTGCCCAATCTCCTTTGGCATCTCGCCTCCTCGCCCTTCGTCTCTGTAGTTTCTCCTTCTCGCTCGCGTGGACGCCTCGTCGAGCCTCGCCCAAGGAGGCAATTAAAGCATCCGGGTAATTCGACGGCCGATACGCGTGTCGTCTCGATTTCGAGGACAACCCACCTGGACGGCACAGTGTCCTGGTCCGCGGATATCCTCGAGATCTGCGAAAAGAGCGTATGGTTGCGGTTATCCGAGGTGTCGGAACGGCTGCGATTGGCAGCCTGGTGATTCGGGGTGATCGACTGGTAACATTTTCTTGTCAGCAGCCTCGACATTTAACACGAATCACGACGTCTTAGTTTGGAAGACAATTCATCTGGGCGTCTCCGTCACCTGGTCTGCGAGTACCCTCGAGATCGGGAAAGACGTATGGCTAAACGAGAAAGTGTCAACACGGCGACTCTTCGCAAACCACAAGGACGAATTTAAAAATGTTTCTTTAAATTTTACGTCTGCTTTCTTTTTTCTTTTTCTTTTTTCTTCGACCTTCGCAGGTCGCTGTTTCCTCTCCTCTCCTGCTTTCCTCTTTTCCTAGTCTTACCGAAGTCCAATTGCAGTCTAGTGTAGCAGTTTACGCATCGATGTCGCACTTCTTCGATTCTTCACTCCTTCGTTAATTAGTCTCTTCAGTAGTGGGTACAAGCTGCAAAATAAAGGGAGACCGTCTTCGATAAGAAATGTACAAATCGATGATCAACGAGGTCCCCAAGTTCTCCTCTCGTAAAACGATCCAGCCGGTGGCTTAGAACTCGGACACGGTATCACGCCTAAAACCTGTTTCAAAACCGATCCCCGGTGTTCGTGATCCTTCAACTTTCACGTGGCCGAAAATAGATGGGGGAAGATAAGCAAGGTCAAAGAAGGATCCGTCTATCGCCGTGCGAGGCAATCAGGCGTCGGAATCTTCACGAACAGGCGGGACAGAGATTCCCAAAGTGTTCCCAAAGCGTTCCAGGAAAGACGGTTCCGTTTCGTAGGATGTCGAGTGCCCAATAACCCGAAACAACCCCGGCAGCTTTATCCAAGATTCCGTGGCGAGAGCGGGCACCCTTCGGCGTCGGACCGACACGTCGCGACGCGCCACGTCGAATGGTGGGGATCCCAGAGGCGTGCGAGAAGGGTGCAGCGAGAGGGGTGGAGGTGCCCGGTAGGGGGATAGATAGATGAATAGAGAGAGATAGGTCGCGGCAGGAAGGGCAGAGGAGAAGGGAACAGAGGGTACGCAAAGGCTGGCGTGGCGAACGACCATTAGGGAGCCGAACGGCCATAGAGACGCATCGTTCAACGTGCGTGCCGGCTTTTTTCTTGTACTTTCTTCCGCTGGCCACCACTTCCGGCTACGCCACCGCGGCCGTTCCTTCCACGTGGATCCGCTTTGTGGCTATGGTCGTTTCTCGGGAGACGGTGGATCGCCGTTGGGCCGCCTTCAGGAAATGTAGGGCTAGTATTCTCGTTAAACGTAACCCGAAAGAAAATATTTTCGATAAATGCTGTCTATTTAAATACCCGAGTGTTTATCGAATTCACTTCGTTAACATTAAAATACTGAACAAAGTGTTTCGGAACTGTTAAGCTGGACATATACGAGTCAACACTTGAGATTAACCGTGTGACTTTGCTCGTTTCAGGGGAGGATGAAGAATGGAGCGACTCGGAGAAAACACCATCGGTGAGCAGTGGCGTGGACGGCGGTGGATCGGCAGTCTCCAGCCCGATCGCGCCAGTCGTCGAGGAGGAATCGAGCCTGCCACCACCACCGAGACTGAATCATCCACCCTCCTCGGTCGGTATCGCGAATTCGGCCGCCGAGGACATCAGATTGAGGCTCAGCGTGCTCTCTGAGGACGCTAGGAAACGGCTGGCTAGTCTTACCGAAGATATCGAGGTAACAGTTCGCTACCACCTCGGAAGTTGCACCTCATACTTGATATACAATTAACTATATATGTAGTTTACTTATGTTATATAAGGCCGATCGCACACGGCGCAACCGATTTGAAATTAGTGTTGCAAACCGTTTGCGCTCTTTGTTTTACCTACTCCACTATCTTTGTTTTACCTGGATCCACCGCCGCGTGCAACTAGTTTCAGAGTGGTTTGAAACTGATCGGTTACGTCCGTGTGCGATCGGCCTTACGATACATACGATACGATGCACTAATTTGAAATACATGCATTGTACCAGCAAATACACAAGTGTTACAACCTAGAAAAGCGTGAATCGTCGCGGAAAAATAAATGTTTACAAGACTGATGTTCTGTTTCGACTATAACAGGAAACCCAAGTTTCTAACGCGTTCGCCTGTTCATCGCCGACTTTCACCGTTTTCAGGTCGCTAGGAGCTTGAGAGACCGACATGCTACCTCGAGGCACAATCAGGCGCGAGAGACGAGTCCCAAAGACATGGACGAGGAGGGTATGGTCGTGGTCAAGGAGGAGGACTGCCAGCCGAGGTCGTCGTCTTCCTCGTCCTCCTCGATTCGAAGAAGGGAGTCCGTCTGCAGGAGAGACTCCGAGGACTCCTCGAAGCGATCCAACGCGGACGACCCTCCTTCGGAGAAGAAGCTCAAACCCGACGACGAAGCTACACCAAGACTGAGACTCAATGCTAGTCTGGCGACGGATCCTGCTCTCCGACCCGCGACCGTAGCCGCGCTTACCGTCAAACCGGAGAACACCTCGCCGCCGAATCCTGTGCCACCTTCGCCAGCTGGTCTTCAGAATGGTAACATCGAGTTCTGGTTGATACAGAGATCCTTCTATCGAGTTTGATCTTGCTGGGTCTGCTATAGTCTCTATACATTAGGTTGTCCCGAAAGTTTCTTTCGTTTTATCAATAATTAATATATACACAATATTTGATGTTTCATGTTACATTACCGAATTGTGTACGATTCATTTCGCTTCATTACTGTTACAGCATCAATGTCTAAGAAATTAGATTGTCTATTTATATAAACACTGCCACAGAAAATAATTGAATGCAACTCACGAAAGAAACTTTTGGGACAATCTAATAATTGATTCGAACTGTCTGTTGAAACTATTAACATCGTCGTATGAAAGGGGTATTAGAGTTCAAACGAGCGGTATTTTGGTTGAGCTAGGCTTAAAACGACAAGTACAAATCAATTCTGAGTAGTTTACCAAAGTAAGCAACACCAAACGCTACAATTTAGAAGTAATCCGGGTCTCGTTAGTTTTACCGTATCGATACCATTGATACTCGACTGACACGGTAATCGACGTATTAAGGTCGATTTATATTATCCGTTCAGACACGACGTGTTTCCGATCAGTTCGATTCCGACAAATATTGTTTTGTGTTATTAAACACGAGTGTTTACATATATCGTAATGGATCGGTTCAAACGCGTTCTGTTTCAGACATATGACGACCGACATTCTCGAATAGAATAATTTGTCTGAAGCGATGCGTGACCGCAAAATCTTGCGACAGAACAGACGTGTTGCGTTAATTTATTTACAAATTAAATATCGTAAATAGGTATCCTAAAATATTGTAAGAATTTTTCATCATCATCCATTAATTGTCTGAATAGGGTCCAATATTCTCCACACATCTTTCCATTCTTGAACATTTTATGAACCGCAAAACGACGTTCTCTTATCTGGTTTTCTTTCTCATCATCTAATAACAATGCTACACAGCACAGATTTTTAAAAGGTAGGTGTGAAACATTTTCGACGATAATCAGTAATGTTCGTTGCCTGTCGTTGTCGAAAGCGAACTGATGATATAAATACCACATTGCTTTTGTCGGAACCGAACTGATCGGAAACGCGTCGTGTCCGAGCGGATAATATAAATCGACGTATTAAACGGAGAAACGTTTCAGCAATCGCATCTGGTCGGTTGTTCGTGCTGCAAACCGACGGCAAAGAGACGATCACCGTGGAGCCAGCCAGGCCAGCGCCTCTGATTTGTCCACCGTGCGGAATCCGCTTCAGTTCGGCGAGCACTCTGGAGGCCCACCGCACCTTCTATTGCGCCCATCGTCCGCGGCTGGAGGAAGACGCCGCGAACGACGAGGACGAGGAGAAATCCAACAAGTTCGAAGTGAGAAAGGCGTACGCCTGTCCCCACTGCTCGTACAGCGCGGATAAGAAGGTCTCCTTGAACAGACACATGAGGATGCACGCAGCGTCTCCGGCGCCGCCCACGATACCGGCGGCACCGACTCCAGCCACCACGCCAGGAAGCGGCGCCGCGGCAGCTTCCAACGGCTCGTTGAACGAGGAGGCGGAGCGATACTGCAGAAACTGCGACATCAGATTCAGCTCGCTCAAGACCTACAGAGCGCACAAAACTCACTATTGCAGCACCAGGCACGTCGTCAAGGACACACCGCCAACGACCAGCGCGGCCTCGTCGTCCGTCAAGGCGTCACCGCCGACCAGCGCGAGTCCTGGTGACTCTCCGCCGCCGCAGCCGTGCCTGGCTTTACCCACCAACCCCATTCTGATCGTGCCGTACTCCCTGTTTCGCGGAGCCAGCGTCTTGGCCGCGCCGACTCTGCCTGCGCCCGACACTGCGTGCTTCCTTCTTCCAAATGGTTCGTATCGAACATCAAACGATTCGATTAAGTATCGAAATTTTCAACAGCATGCAATATCGTCAACGTAAGTAACGTCTTCTCGCAGGCCATCTCCAGCCAATGACCAGAGGCCTAGCAACCACAGCGCAAAACGCCGTGGTCGAACCTCCTCCGGTCCTTCGAGCAGCGAACAAGCCGACAACGCCAGCGTCGGTGGTAGCGTCGTCCACGTCGCCGCCCGGTTCGGCGCCTCTCGATCTCAGCGTCAGAAAGTCGCCAGCGCATCAGGACGAAAAGGAAAACAGGGTGTCGCCGGCTCCTTCCTCTCTGCCTCCGCCACCTGGAAGCCCGAGATCCAGGGGAAGCGGTAGTCCCAGAGCGAGGTCGATCGGCTCCGCTCCAACGGCAGCTGGAACTGTTGCACCGCCTCCACCGACGGAGCTCGCTCTGAGACTTGCCGAGCTCCCGCCACCGCCTGTTCCTGGCGTCCTCGTCAAACAGGGTGTCTCGAGGTATGTTGCCTTCGAGTTTGAACACCACCATCCCTAGAAATAAGACATTCGTATCAAAGAATTACTCTTGAAACGATCCTCTGTTGTATTTTACCTTGTAAAGGGAAAATTATTCTTTGGTTTTTTGTTATTAACTAGCCCTGTTTTTAAAACTTTTAAACTATCGCGATTTCTCTTGCGAGAATCCGGTATTTTCGCTCAAATCAATAGCCATCTAGCGGTGAACAGGCCGAACTAATTTCGGAGTATGGTCAGCAGCGCCCCTATCGGGAAAACGCTCAAGTTTCTCCTCGAATAGTTCCCCTGTCAATGGTAGATGGAGCCATTTGTTGTTTTTTTTTTTTTTTTAATTGAAAAATTAAGAGTTCAGGACTCAAAAATGATTCTCATTCATATTTTAATATTGCAATGATTGTCCACCTATTTGTTTTTAAATATATCAACAACAAAAAACTACAAATACCTCTGTCGTCCTCTACCGGGAGAATGCCCAAGTTTGTTGCCGATTAGTTTGGCTTGTTCACTGCTAGATGGCGATACAAGTATTCCTACAATTTTTTTTGTTATATTCGAAAACAAATAAGTGAACAACCATTGTAATATTAAAATATGAATGAGAATCATTTTTGAGCCCTAAACTCTTAATTTTGTAATTAAAAAAAAAAACAAATGGCTCCATCTATCATTGACAGGGAAACTATTCGAGGACAAACTTGAGCGTTTTCCCGATAGCGGGGCTGATCGGACTTAAAATAGTTCCGTTATTCGCCGCTAGATAGCGACACCAATTTATGGCGGAAAATTCAAATTTGTTTTATTAAATTAAAGTTTATTAGAGTAGTTAAAAAGTCTTTCGTATAGATTAATACACTAATGAATTTATTTTTCACAAGTGACCTGTCCCGGCTTCGCCTGGGTTCTTTTCCCTTGATGTCAACACGAAAAAGCCAGGGACTTTATTTTATACTATGTAGAGATAACGCAATACTAACAGATCCTTCGGAATTGTTAAATCTTCAGATGCAAGGAATGCAACATAGTCTTTTGCCGACACGAGAACTTCGTCGCGCACAAAAAACATTATTGCCAAGCGAGGGAAACCACGGTCAGCAACAGTCCACCGCCACCCGGTACACCATCGCCTCCTTTAGTCCAGCTTATCTGCGCAGCGTGCGGCATCAAGTTCGCCTCCATGGATAATCTTGTGGCCCATCAAGCGTTTTACTGCCCCAAAAGGCCGGAACCTCAGGAACATCACACGAGATGCACCAAGTGTAAAGTAAGTAGTTCGTTCTGGTATGAATTACCTGATACATCTACGATATTGCAGAAACGAAAGTTCAACACTGAGTCATTTTTACATTTCCTTGAATTTGTATAGGCTGTAATTGAGCCCGGAGGTACGCACACGTGCACCAGCGGACCGACAGGTGGTTGGAGATGTCCCGTATGCGGCGCGGTTAGTCCAACAGCGGGAGCTGCTCAGCGTCACATGGATGCGCATCAGGGCGTCAAGGCTTTCAGGTGCACGATTTGTCGTTACAAAGGAAACACGTTGCGTGGTATGAGGACGCATATCAAGATGCACTTCGAGAAACGTGGAACCGATCTGCAGGTAAGGAAGTACTGTTATTGTCCTGTCCGCGCATCGCAGTATAAATGTCCCTTCTGTGCATGCATAGGAAATGAGATGCAAATTCAAGTAGCGTGCTTGGACGACACAGGAAAGTGTACACTGATAATTCCAGTGACTTGTTTCACAAGGTTATTCAAGGTGCGCTTAAAGGCACATCTCGCATAAATGTATCGGACGGTACATGACCAAAATTCTGAGACTCTAATACTCGTAATCTTGAATGACAAGTGGATTGATCTCATTTTTCAGAGTTTTTCATGCGTCACCAACGTTTGTAAATAATCGTTCTCTCGTTTTTCAGGAGGAGAATTATATAACGTGCGTGCTCGATGACGAGACGGTCCTCCCGACCCCAGAACCTCCCCCAGCTACCACTCCCGAAGAGGTTCCAGCGGAGGTGCAGGTGAACGGTAAGGCCGAGATTCGAAAGAGTCCTCAGCCATTACCACCACCTCCGCCGCCAACGGTTACGAGCAAGGTGAAACAGGAACGCGAAGATACGCCACCGCCAGAGGAAAGTTTAGACCCCAACAAGAGCGGTCCGCGTTACTGTCGGTCGTGCGACATCAGCTTCAACTACCTGAGCACCTTCATAGCTCACAAGAAGTTCTACTGTTCGAGCCACGCTGGCGAGGCGAGCAACAATAACAACAACAACAACAACAATAACAACTCAAGCAGCCACACCACGCCACCTCCCAGTGGCAGGACGGAGGCGTCCGTACTTTAAAGACTCTCAGGATGCGAGTAAGCATCTTCATCCAAGGTGATCGTTCTTAGATGTCGCCAGCGGGACGACCCAACGGGACTGTTAATTGTTGCCAGTTTATATATATATATATGTATATATATATACATATATATATTATATATATATATAATAGAATTACCGATTATCCGATTTAGTTGACTACCGTTGTGTGATTTCTGTTGATCCAGGGAATTGTTTGTACTTATAAGTTGATTTAACCGACGTGTTGTACATACGCGCGCATGGTCACGGAGCTGCGGAATAATAAAGCGACGTTTCGATGTAGCAGCGATATTTTAGGTCGTCGTGGTAGTGGGCGTTTGGTAGTTCGCTTTGGATTGACTGGATGAAATAAAAAAAAAAAATCGAGCGTGAAAATTATACGAAGTAATACCAAAGTGAAGCTGCCGAATGAGGACGCGTCTTGTATATGAAGGATCGTGATGTTCCAGTTGGGTTTTTGGCGACAGCGCGATCGAAGATGCGGCGCGGCTGGGATTCTCGAAAGCCACGATCGACCGTTACAAAGGTGTGCAATCTCATGACTCTTCAATAATCTCGTAGCTATAACTAATTAATCGACATACCTAAGGAATTACGGATAATAAAGATGAGTGTAAAATGTTGTACAGTAGACGAGTAGAGTATTAAAGGAACGATAGTAATTATCCTGAATGATACCAATCTCAAGCTTGTGAAAACGCTAAGTTGCAATATGACATTTAATATATTATATATATAAATATATAAATATGAATTAAAAAATGATTTCATTGCCCATAAATCGCGCTCATACTCTCCCAGGGAGTAAGTACGTTGATAAATGTATCCATAGACTGCCATAAGAATTGGGGATCGTTTCCTGTGTCGTTTGCCAATCGTCTCGAATATATCACGGGAGAAGGAACGAAAACTCCTTAGCGTCTCACCCCGCGAATTCAGAATTCGGTGTAATTGGATTCTTACCAACGCATTTGCTTCATACATACAATCAAAAGATAAAGCATCGCGTGTACTTACTTGTAAACAAGTAAACGATTCGTTGCGAGCGCGTAAATGTAAAAATTAGAATTAAGGCCAGTGTTACACGTATACGCAGCGTACTATTCATATCATATAACGAGTTCGTTAATGGCATCAATTTTCCCACGTGCGAATTTCGACTTTGAGAATAAGTAAAGAATGTTAGTATCTGCGCATTGTCGCTAAACGCGACCACGCATCCAAAAATCTCAGTTAATGTAAAATTGTTTTCGTATTTCGACGAGTAGTGTAGCCAGATAAACGCGAAACGTTCGCGAATACTTTTATAAAAGTAATTGTTACGTTATTTACGGGCCTGTACTCTTGCTGATTGCTGTCTAAAAGAAAGCAGGATTCACGATATTCCCTTAAAGAATAAATACAGAAGATTTGATAATGCATCACAGAGTAGCTACCCTTCATTACTGAAAACTTGTAAATCTCTATCTGATACTTCCAGCAATTTGTTATACATTATAAATCTGGTATATCATTATATATGCCATATCGTCGAAAACGGTTCTTTTTCTAAATACCTATACACCTTCCTTTGTCACTTCGACGTTCTAGGTTTACTTTTATTGTTTTTATTTTGATAGACGGAATTTTACACACAAGATATATCTATATAAATATGTAATAAATATATAGACATAAATAAAATTCTAAGACCTTTATGACCCTTACTTCTATAAAATGAAAGAAATAAGTTAAAGTTGTTTAACTTGTGTTTGAAAACAATTTTAATTATAAAACTAAACATGTTCTAGATATTGATTTAAATTACTTTAAACAGTATGAAAAATGAAATCTTTATAAAAAGAATTATAATACGAGTATAATTATACTGAAGTTATCGTTCACCTATACAGCTGCATGTGGTAGAAAAGAACTTATGTAAAAGTATATACTATACAGTATTCGTTATTTTGTCATAACGATTTACGTTTAGTATCACACTGAAGTTCAGCATTAATCACTGTTTTTAGTAGAATCACTATTTTCATCTGCTTCCTCGTATACGTATTCTCCGCTATACTCGCTATCATCGCTGTCATCCTCGTCTAATTCATTTTTTACCCGTGCCTTGTATTTTGCATATTTATAACCATAAGATTCAACGTCTTTTTCATTGACCGCATAAACGAAATCGTCTTCGCTAGACAAATCCGAACCATCTTCCAATCGCAAATTCCTAACTGCCTCTTTCATATCTTCGTCGTCGATTGATCTTTCAGAGTGATCGGAATCGGGGTAATCATTTCGCCAATTAGATTCTGAATTAGAATCCTCTGATTCGCATTCAATATCCGAATGATTATTTCTATAAGTATCAAAAACTAATTCTTGGTCTAATGGATGCACGAATAACATATTGTCTGGGTGCAACTCATTCTCAGTTTGTCCAAAATACAAATCGTACACGTAACCCTCATCCTATAAAGTATTCTTGGTATTATTTATGTACCTTTCTAATAACAAGAATTTGAATATTTAATGTAAAAAAAAAATCTAATGTAAACACAGAATTCTGTAGTATTGACAAGAAATGATATACATTTTGCGTGGAATGCTCCTTTGGAACAGCACATGAGACAGAATCCTCCACATCTATTACTGTCATAATCTTGTCTTCCAATACTTCATGATTGGTGCTATCCAAAGATCGGAAACAATTGATTACTTTGTAACGATTCTCTGCTGAAGCCTGTTTTGCCCTTTCTCGTGCCTTATTTATAATATCCACAGAATGCTGTTTGAAATTTGCTTTCAATTCATCTTTTCCCAAAGTCTGAATTAAGTGCTGGACAACATTATCTTCCTATTATAAAAAGAGAAAGAAATATGGTTCGATTTATTGAATCAATGACGATTGAACTATAGCTAATACTATTATCCTATTTACCTGATTTTTAACAGTTCCGGCAAATTTTACAACTGCCGTTAATGGAACAGTGGCAGCCGATTCTGGTGCTTCTTCATCGTCTGCACTTTTACTTCGTTTACACGCAATTAGTAATGCATTTAATGGTTCGTCGTCGTGCCTACGTTTCACACGTAATACAGCTGCCATTGTTTTTGTTGTTTCTTCGAAGGGAATACTCGCAAGTCACACGTTTCAACAGCCACTGGATATTTTGTCTTCCATTTAACCTTTCCTAACCTGTTTCACTGATTCTTTTTATGTTGGTTTACTGTTTTCATGTTTTGAGTCGTAGTGGCGCCATCGGTGGAAAAACGTTCAAGTTTGTAGTGAAAAACGTTCCTACTGGTGCTAGTAGATGGCGTTACTTACTAAAAGATAGAAAATTATTAATGCATGAAATAACTATTCATAGAAGTAATAAATATAACATATTAACTAATATATTGTAGTGTTATGAAGCAAAGAATCGTATTAATACATTTGTGTAAAATAGAGAGATCAATTGATTAAAAGGTATCTGTGGCGCTATCTTATTGAAACAGCTGGAACTATTTTCACTACAAACTTGGGCGTTTTCCCACCGATGGCACCACTAGTACAAAAACCATTTTAGAGCGGCTCAGTAAGCGGTGACCTTTCAGAATGTACTCAATGAAGATCCTCTTCAGAAGAGGGTCAAATAGTCAGTTCCTGCCAGTTTGTTCCAGTCAAAGAGTATTAGACTAATACTCTTTGGTCCCAGTTTGCTCTACACATAGAGATTTTCAACGGAACACCATCAAGCACCATCATGAGCCATATAGTCCTCAAGAAACCACTTCAATTTCTTGGGGACCACATGTGCTAAATGTTAATATAAATTCAAAAGTACTCAAGAAAATTTTTGAATTAGTAGTAAAATTAGAAAAAGAAAATTGTATTTCAATAGTTTTTCCACTTTTTGTACCTTCATATAGAATAAATAAAACTCAGGGGGAGCATGAGTTCGAATTTATTGAGAAACACTGTTGTACACGCTAATATATGCAACTTCTGATTTATTCGAAACTTTTTGGTTTTCATAATATATTAACTGTGTGCCAATGACGCGTTCTGTTCGCATAAAATACAAAGTCCAACAATTTGTTAGCTGGCATTTAAGTCCTCCTCATTCCATTTAAGAAATAGTAAGTATACGAAGTGTCTTTATCAACGCCTGCGCATCGTAATACTTTCGGATTCTTGTGTATCTAGTATTATAAAATGTGATTTGCACATTAAAATATTGAACATCGCACAGGTATGAAAATTTAATTGATGTGGAAACGTTTGTAATTATGGCAATGACTGACCAAGATGCTAATAATAATAACCTTCCCTTAAGGGAAAATTTAGTAAGTTTTTAATCACTCTTAGGTTATATGTTTATTTAAAAGTCCTTCGATCATTTTTTTATATATCGCAATTCCCTATATTAATGACAATAGAATTGTATTTTTAATAGTTATGTAATGTATATAAATTTGCTAGACATGTGAAAATTAAGAAGAACTTATTTTCTTCAAGGTAAAGACTGCAGTGGAATTTTTGCAAAATCCTAAGGTAACAAGTAGTCCTGTAGGACGTAAACAGGAATTTCTTAGAAGAAAGGGTTTGACCGAGGAAGAAATACAAACTGCTTTTAAATTAGCTTCCGTCGATACAACAGCTGATCAAAATGTTATTCATAAATCGAAAGACTATACTGTGATTCCTATTTCACCAGGTCATGTTCATCCATATTTTCAAACGTATCCATACCAGATAACCCTTTTCCAAAAGGTCAAAGAATTCTTTAATGCTACTGCTTTAATTGGAGCTACAATATATTGTGTTTATTGGTTTTATAAGGTATTATTAATATATAGTGGTACGAACAGATTTTTAATTATATAATGAATTAACTAAAGTGTCTTTTGTTGTGTTACAGAAATTCATTGAGCCATTCTTATTTGGCAGAAAGAAGAAAAATACCATTACAGATTCTGTTTCTGAATTAGATAAAACCATTCAAAATTCTATGAAAGAAGTGAAACAGTCAATTTCAAAAGTAGAAGATGATGTACAAAAACTAACACAAAATCAATCTCTTGACCCAATGGTACCTCAGTTGGTACAAGAACTAAAACAAGAT